GTTTCGATTGTATAATGACCAAAAGCATTTAAGTTAAGATTTTGGTAATAAAATTTAAAATCATCCATAGTAAAAAAAATCAATAAATTTAAGTAAGTAAATGATATAATTTAGATGTTTGTTTACCATAAGCGCTTATGTTTTTGACTTTTTTCCATGACATTGTGTGACCCACAAAGTTGAATACTGTCTCTTTGCCGCATGTTTATATGATCGTTTGTGTAATTTAGGAAACTAAATGCCCAATCACATGCATAAATAGTGCTAAAGAACTTTGTTTATGCCGCATTTCGAGTTAGTCCAAACAAAACTATACTAAAACATACATCTGACCTCGTTTCGAGTTAGTCCAAACATATTATACACTAAATATACATCGAACAAACGGATTCAAAATTCTATTACCAAAAATATGATCTATGACGATCAATCTCCTAATTCCGGATCCACAAAGATTACATAGATGATAGAACAAACCAATTCGTGTTATGATATTATCAACCGCCTAATTCCATATCCACAAAGATTGTATAAACCTCAAGACTCAAAATTTTCAAAGTCATTAGAAAAAGAGATTAGTTAAGAACCCCTTATATGGTGAATGTATTATCGTGTGCACATGTATTGAGTAAACGTAAAACTGAATTTAGAAGACTAGAATAAGCAACAAGAAAGAGAAGAACACCCCAAAAAAAAAAAAACAAATCTGTAATGTCTCAATTTTAGCATCTTCTTAATCTTTATCTAATTCGTTTCAAAAACCAGCAAAGAATGTTGACCTCGATGAGAAAAAAAAAAAAAAAAAACAGTAAAAATCAATTATAAAAACGTAAAAAAAAAAAAGAAGAAATTTAAAACTAACCATAAAAAACATTCAAAAACCAAAACAGAAAATGAAGCTATGGAAACGAGCCTCCGTAGCAATCAAAGACGGACCAAGCCTAATCGCCGCCGACGACATTCTCACAGCAGCCGTCGTGAAAGCAACAAACCACGACGAATTCTCAATCGATACAGAGAGCGCTCTGTTCATCAACCGTCACGTTCGCTCAAACCCTTCAAGCCTAAAACCTCTAATAAGCGCAATCTCCTCTCGCGTGAAACGCACGCGAAGCTGGACGGTTGCGTTAAAAGGTTTGATGCTAACGCACGGCTTCTTCCTCTGCAAAACCACATCCGCAGAATCAATCGGAAGATTACCGTTCGACCTATCCGATTTCGGCGAAGGAAACTCGCGTATGAGTAAATCCGGTGGGTTTAATCTCTTCGTGAGAGCTTACTTTGCGTTTCTAGATCGAAGATCGATTCTATTCCACGACGGGAATCGTCACCGATACGATGAAGAATCGTCGGTGATGATTCGGCTCGTGATTATACGTAAGATGCAAGTTATTGTTGATTCGTTGATTCGGATTAAACCGATTGGGGAAATTATGAAGATGGATTTGATTAACGAAGCTATGGAGAATGTGATTAGTGAGATTTTAGAGGTTTATGGTTGGATTTGTCGTCGGATTGGTGAGGTTTTACCGAATGTGCATTCGAAGATTGGGAAAACGCAGGCGGATTTGGCGTTGAAGATCGTGGCGAAATCGGTGTCTCAGGGAGAAGAATTGAGAAAGTATTTCGAGTTTTGTAGAGATTTTGGTGTTTCGAATGCTCAAGAGATTCCTGAGTTCGTGCGGATTCCTGAAGCGGATGTGGTACATCTCGATGAGCTTGTACGGACGGAGGAAACAGAGGATCGAGGAGAAGCGATGGAGACGGATTTGTGTGAGGAAGATGCGGAGAGAAGGAATGGTGATGATGAAGGAGGAGAAGAGAGGGAGATGAAGTGTGAATTGGTGTGTGATTTGATAACGCTTGATGAGAATGACGAAGAAGAAACTTCTTCTCCTCCGAGAGTTGTTGATATTCCTGACTTGATTAGCTTCTAATTATCTTTTATGTAATTAAATTTGATTAATTTGGGATGTTGTTGTTGTTGTTTATATGGTCCAACTTCAATCAAATTAATTTTCGTGATAATTGCACTATTAACATCGCTAGATACTTTGGCCGGTAGGCCCTCAACAATTATTTGATTTGCGTCACATACAGCATTTGGTAGTTTTTCTTTGACAATTGAAAACATGTACTTCATTAATTTATAATTCGACTTGAAAACTAAAAATCATTCAACTCTGAAGATACAATCAATACATAAATACAGTCTATCTCTAAGATAAACATTCACAAAATCAATCTTAAAAGAAGTACGTTTTTTTTAAAATATACGCACTTTTCGATTGATATAAAAGGTCTTTATCCACAAAAAAAAAACTGATATAATAAGAATTATAAGTACAAATACCGGTAGTCTGAAAAATAAAAACATTTAATTAAAGAATATCTGTTACAACTTACAGGTCAGTAAAATGTTTATAAAGATAACAGAAGGAAGAAAAAAAATGAATTTCCCTGCAGATTTTTCTCAGACACCTTCTTCCTCAGAGCC